ACCATTCCAGAAACCATTACGTGTTGTCAGTTGACCTTTGCCCCTCCTACGGAACATGTACACTAACTGACCAACCATGTATGGACCTCGTAATGGCCTGTTGCGACTTGCAATGGCTCTACGCCAAACATCCTTAGCATGAGCCTCAAGGAAGGCTCTGGCTGCATTCTCACGAAGGTGCATTTTGGCTTGAAAGGATGGATCGGTGATGATCTGAGACTGTACTGCAGGGTTTTCCTGAGCCTCGACATCTATCAACCAACCGGCATGACGTGTGTCTTGTCCTAAGAACCATTGGGCAGGGCTGAATCCTGATTTTCTCAGCAGTTGGTTTCTTACGCTGGAACATGCTTCAATCACTTCTTCAACAGGACGGCTGGTTGTCCTCCAAGTTCTACGTGCCATGTCTCTCAAGACACGGTTGGCAATCTCTACACGGCCAATCTGCCAATGGCTGTCGGCGGCACAATGCAATAGGTTGATTCCATAATGGCGCAAATAAGCTTGAAAGTCCTTTGACAAATTGGTTTGTTGAGGGTCCATGTAAACTGTCTTAGGTGCACCATACGGACGGGTCCAAACTGCATGAAACGCTTTGGAGAGATTGTCCTGGCCGAATCCTGGCACGACAATCTGCTGGCAAAAGTCAGTTCCTAGACACACGCAGGTCAAGACATTAAACTTACGTTCTACCATATCCCCATTTTCTTCATCCCTTTTAAGTTCTACTTGGACATAGTCTACCCCAACTATTTGGTTTGGCTGGTCTGCATGAGGCATCGTGGCACTGCGTCTCAAAGTAGGCAACTTAAGTTCTTCACAAACAGAACATTTAAAATGGCGGATGGCATCTTTGACAGTGTCTGATGAATGACAACGATTTGCCAGGCGCATCATCTGCTCCGGTGATGCATGTCCAGTGTTGATGTGAAGTTTCATCACAATTGGTTTTGCTCGTGCTGTTTTCTCAACTTGTTGCTTCTGTGCGTCACCGGCTGGTGCTTCAACTGGCATATCTTCTGCAAGCTCATCGTCGTCCAACGCATAGACATACTCTTGAGTGCTGGCTGGAGGCATGTCGTTCTGCTGGACATCTTGGACAATCAGTTCGGACACAACATTGCAGAATTTTGTGGGGTAAGTTTCAGCTATGCTAGACAGGTTTCTCCCCTTATACTTACCCTCCAAATGTCCATGTTGATGGCGGTGATCACATCGATACTGCTGCATGCCTTCGGCAAAACTACGCTGAGAGGTGACCAGTCGGGTCGGCTTGAGGACTGGCAACCGAGTTTTTGGACAACGAAGACCCAAGGCACATTGGTCAACACGAATGTCATATACTTCTCCTAGACAAAGTTCTCCCCAAGCTTCACTGGTTAAGGGGTTTTCACAATGACAGTGTCCTCCAAGGGCTGTTTGGAGTGCCCAGGCTTCGGTGACCGCATGCAGGTGTCGTCGGGCTTTCGCCCTCTGAGCAACAATCTTTTCACGGCAAGAACCTCCTTTTGACATGTTAAAACGGCTCCATGGTCCCCAACATCCACAAGGAAATGAAAACCAGACATGACGTGGCCTGACATATGCAATAAGGGTCATAAGCATCCTACGGTCTTTGAGTTGATCAAGGTTATGACCATATTCTAAACCGATTCGAATGCTTGGCACTTGAAGTTTCTCTTCAACCCGTTTTGCAAGAGGTGCTTTACCTGTGAAAACTTCCAGGAATTGGACGTTTTGGTCCAAGGCTGTGCTTTGTGGGCCTAACCATTCACTGAGCTCGCGACGAACCGCTTCAGGCTCCTCATGAACTCTGGTCATGACCAACTGAGCTTGTGTGCGACGTAAAGACGTCATGGAAGCAAGCAACATTTCCTGCGTTTCCTTTGGGATTGGTTCAGTGTTGATGTCCAACCAGTCCATTTCTTCATACAACATTTCTAAATCATCTTTCCCATTGTCCCCATTATCATGAGTCCCGTGATCATGTTCAACTTCATTACAACAATAGCAACATGGCTCAGCATTACGGTCGGCTGACCGGGTGGCTTTTGGCTGTGCTGACATCTCGGATGTCACGGGGCGATATGCAAACATGGCTATGCTCACATGTGGGACACGGCATCTGGTGGATCCTGCAGGGCGGATTGACCAAGGAGATACAGAAAACTCACCTTCTCTGGTCAAGGTCAATATGGATTGCTGGATTTCACCGTCTGCAAGTTCCGTGGGAACTCTCTCAAGCTTAGGCTTATATGCTATCATGGCATGTGAAACCTCTAAACCTGAATTTCCATAGATGATTTTGAATTCTTCTTGAAACTTCTGGACATCTACAATTCCATTCTTTGTGTTCTTTGCTATGTGCTGGAATGCTCTACGCCTATCCCCTGTAGTTATCTTACCATTTTTGGTGGGCTTACCCTTATCCCTTTTGATTTCAACTACACACTGGTCCTCGGAAGGGCCAGGGCTCTGCAAAGGCTCGGATGGCGTTGGAGTTTCGGCAGCTTCTGCATCATTGGGCTCATACTCAGGCTGACATGGCTGGGCGTCAGCACGAATCATCGATTCTGCAAGCTGTGATTCTTCTACATGGAAATCATTGGGAATCTCATACAGCGGCATCAAGAAGTGACCATTGGCAGCTTGCCGTAACGGCACATTGAACATACCATGGTGCTCACTTGTAATGGACTTTTGGCCGAGGTCAAGTTTGGCCTTCATACCTTCCAGGACTCTGCGCGACAACAGAAATGGTGTCTGACCAGGCACAACGTACGTAGTGACTGACCCCCACAAAGATCCCAGCTTGACATGCCAACGAAGTCCAGTGGTCGTTTCGACCTTACCACCTTGAAACCCTTTTAGTTCAACCGGAGGCAAATCACATTCTGCAGGCTGAGGCAAGTTGCGGCGTCTCAAGAACTCCTGAAACTTGGCTGCTGTGTCACTTCCTATGACTGACGTTGTGCAACCCGTATCCAAAATTGCATGACCTTCAGGAATACTTGCAAGCAAAACTTCTTCGGAGGTCCATGTGTTGGCTGCAGTTGCAAAACTTGGAGAGGCTTCTACCATGTATGCAAATGAACTGACCAGCACAGACTCGGTCATGTTTGCTTCTTCCTTCTTGGAAGGACGGCCGCCATCTTTCTTACCCTTGACATAAGGCTTGCTCGATGATTTCTTGTCATACTTGAAGTTGGACTTTTGCAAAGGTGCTTGGTTCTGAGAAGACTGCGAGGGCTGACTCTGATCCTGAGGCTGTGTCAAGGCGACTACAGGATAGTATGGCTGTCTGCTCCTCTTCAGTTCTTTGACTCTCTTCTTCGTATCTTTGTAAGTCTTGAATGACTTACGGAACTTCTCTTTTGACTTCCTTTGCAACTCATAAACTTCTTGCAATTCATTTTGAAACTCTTCTTCACTGGAATCCATTTGGTCGACGGCCATGACGTCGTCATTGGACATGGAATCATCAGTATCTACGGCTGCAAGGCTGGAAGAATCACTTTGTTCTACTGCATGGACATGTTCTTGAACTGCATAGGCTTCCCGACGACTCGGACGTTGAGGTCTACGGTCTTCGGACTTGTGGCTTTCTTCCAAGTCCGATGCTCTCAAGATTCGTTCAACATCGATGAACCTGGAGGATCCATTTGTCGAGCGAACTACTTGGGCACGTTGCTCTCGGGAAAGACCATACTTACGCATGAACAAATGGCCAAGGACAGATTGAGGAAATATTGGTTTGGGCTTGACATGCCCCATCTCCAAGGTTCCAAGCATCTGCTGCATTTTGGCCTGGGCCTTTGTCCAGTCTTTCTCATAAGAGCCATAAGAGCTATGCTGTTTCTTGCGAGACCTATTTGAACTGGTGACGGATGCAGTTCCAGGGCCTCTGGCCGGCTGGCCAGGCTCAGCTGCAGGTGGAGCAGCTTCGGATGCATCAGCTGTGCCACTGGTCGGCTCAGCTTCGGGTCTGGCAGGTTCAGCAGGATGTTCGGTTCCTGCTCCTTCCGATGCAGTTTCTTCCAACTCGGACTCATACAGCTCATCCACGGGTGGGATGTCTCCAGGCTTTTCAGTTGTGCGACGGCGCTTGGAACGAGTCATTTCACGTTCCTGGCTGATCAGTGTTTCAACTCTGGCAAGCTGAGTTCTAAACCTACTTGCAAAGGCAGTGGCTCCTTCACCTTGTCGACGTTTCAGTGCGAAAAGAAACTCATCTATGCTCTCATGTAACTCTGTCTCAGGCAGGAATTTATAATGCTCATCAAGTGCTTTGATCACAACCATGAAACCATCAGGCGATCTCAACTGAGAAATGTTAAGGTGCTCAGTGGCACGCCAGGCTTCACCACTCAGTCGCGAAAGGAGTCGGGGACCTGCTAGGTGTGCATGCTTGTCCTCCAACCCAGCGATCGCCAGCAATGTCTTGCGACGAAAGTCACGGTACCCTGAGGGTTTTCCATCAAATGAAACATCCCTCAGTGCGTCTTTGCCACCATCCATGTTGGTGGCCACCAGATTGGCCGAAAGGCCTCAGTTTCCAGGATAGGACAAAATGTCCTCACAAAGACCGCGAGGTCGAGCGCGGAAGCAGGTCACAGATCTCCTGCTCCGCTACCATGAAATTACGGCAGCGAATACCGTCAGTTGTATAGGGGTTATTAATCCCTCACCACAACACCAAATCACTCCACTCTATTTCTCCGTTTCGCCAAGCCGTGATTGGCTTCAAGGGCCCTTGTGAACCCAAATGATTGCGAGGCCTTTCATACAAGCAAGTGGTGACATGTCACGTAGTGAGCATGACCCTGACATGTCACGTAGTGAGCATGACCCCACTGACTTTCATAACCATGGATCCGTCATGGGAATGGGTACGGTAAACAAGTCCCTATGACCCTATGGATTGATGACCATCCGTCGACCCTCGTTGCTGACCATTTCTGGTCAGCCACTGACCATTCCTGGGATGCACAGCGGGCTGCCTGAGACGGATCTTGGAACAGCCGGTTGCTGTGGCGTCATCGAAGGGCCAGCCTCGGAAAGGGCTCACAAACGGCCGCAAAAGAAACGGCCGGATGACCTGGGAAATAGATGGATTTTTTGGAAAATCATGGAAAATCTCATTTTTTTTCGTAACGGAAAATCCCAATTTGTTGTGCACTGGGAAAGCCGTCCTTCGGCATTTTGGCCGGGAAAATCCATTTGTCCCTCAGCTGGTCACCTTCAGTGGCCGACTGGTTTAGTTGCTCCGCTGGTGATGCCGGCCGTTTCTGGTGTTGGCGATAAAGAGGTGATAAAGAGGTGAAGAGGCGATGATGCTGAGAGTGATGGCAATGATGTTACTACTACTGATGCCTCATGAAACTCCCTTGCACAAACACTAAGAGTCCGACATGCGATCGACCTGACGTCAATTCTGATGGTCCGAGTTGTACAAGGTGCTGCCCCCCTCCAGTTGTGTTTGTTGGTAACCCCCCATTAAACGATATATCTACCATAAACCCAGCAGTGGAGTAAACTTAAACGTTGAACCAACTTAGCTCATGTTTTGCGGCATCAGATAAAGGGCTGCTATCCAACCTACCAGAAATGTCACATCCGATCTCACCAGGCTAGTGATTCCTGAGACACATCCATGTTTCCAACTTGTTGGAACTCCACCCATGAGCTTTCCTCGGCAAAGGAACATGGTAACCCCAATGAAATTCACCGTTACAGGGATTTAAGAGCATACCAGCATACCACATACCCAAAAAAAGGGATTCATTGTTAAATGGAAAACAAATTAACACTATGAAATATATCCTAGAACAACCGAGGCAGCAATAATCATTTACAGTATGTTTGGTGAAAAATTAACTTTTGGAGGGGCCGACCCTCAAACGGAGCTTTTTTGATGAGACGTAAGTTTTTGGATTTTGGATGGTTCCAGCAAATTGTGATGTTTTGGGTGGAATGGGATTCTCTCAATTCCACAGGTGTGGCGGAGACTTTCGCTGCATGAAGAACGCATAACTCAAGTGTCCAGCTTGAAAACCTGTACCAAAAAAGTGACAAACTGAAACGGCATAAATTTCCAACCAAACGGCGTAAATTTCCAACCAAACGGTGTAAATTATTTTGGTTGTTTTCAATGCATATTTGGACGTTGACATGCTACATATATATATATATATATCTGCCCATGTTCTCCAGGGTGTGTGAATATCAAAAAAGTGCGCGAAATGCAAGAATGGCAGCTGACCGGGCAAGAATACGGCCAAACAATTGAAACGGAAGTTTCTGGCTGAGACGGCAGAATTTATTGAAGCGACAATAATTTCTTTAGCCCGGGCTGGCGGAAGAAATTTTAACCCAGCCGGCAGGATATGACACACCTGGCGTATCTTTTGTCTGGGGATGTCTGGGGCCTAAGTCTGGGGACTCGCCTGCCTGTTGCCATCTGTCAGCTTTCAACGGATGCCTCGTTCATCTCCACATCACTGGCTTGATTTGAAGGAAGATCCACCGGAAACCATCGTTGTCTCAGCCAAGTACAGGATATTCCTCCCAAAGCTTTCCCAGAAAACATCCGAAAACCATCGAAAACCGCTTCTCAGACCATTCAAACCCCACCCGCCACGGAGAAGCGCCTCTTTCAGTTTCACTCCTGGGGTCGAAACTGCACAACGCTTGGAGGATGAAGGAGAGTTCAGGAGAGGTACCATGAGATCTTGAATGGATTGGTTTGCAAATCTACAGGAAAGCATGTTTTTAAAGCGTTTCAGCAGCAAAATCTGGAGGAATTCATCATCGAACTTCGGGGTATATAAACCAACTGGGGCGGATTTTCCCAACCAATTCTCGACATCTGAGGTCAGCTCCCATCAACAAAATGACTCAAAATGACATGTCGATCTCTGTCTTCCCACTCAGCACCGTCTCGGAGATGCTTCCTGGTAACTTACTGGTTGGTGGGAGAAACCTACCCCTCTGAAAAATCATGGACTTCGTCAGTTGGGATGATGATTCCCAATATATGGAAAAATAATCCAAAAGTTCCAAACCACCAACCAGACTAGTATTTAGATGATTCAGTACTGGTTGGTATTTTAGTACTAGTATTTTAGATGTATTTAGTTCTACTTGTACTGGTAGTAACTTGCCAAATATGATCGAACTCCAATCCAGGAACTCCAGTCCAAGTCGTTTTGGAGATGTTTGGAGCGTTTAAACATTAATTTTAACTGATCCAAACAATTCCAAAGATAATTCTCTGGTAATTTAACAGTTGGCTATTGAAAATGGACCATAGACGCCATAGAAATAGTGGATTTACATGGATTTACCCATTAAAAATGTTAGTTTACCAGAGGATAATTCTCCTTCTGTAATCAACCTCTTTTTATTCTCTACGAATCCATGTCATCCCGACGCCTCGCGGACGTGATCCGGCTCGGGGCACTGCGCTCCTGCGGGTGTCCATCGGTGAATGGAAGCCCTGCTGGGGCTAAGGTGGTAAACCCAAGGATAAACCATTTTAAACCATCCCTGATAGCAGAAATGCGAGGGATTTCAACTTGTTTCTGAAGAAATGAATCATATCAGCATGGGTAGCCATCCCCTTCTTTTTACCATAAATGGCTGAGATTTCGTTGAAATCCCGATGGTAGGCTTTTAGTCATTGGGTCGTCATCCACAAAAAATGCTGTTAATGATCCAGGCTCTCAAAAAGAAGTGGAATGAAGTGGAGGATGTGAAGAGACGACTACATCGACCTGCAAGTCATGAAGAAAATGAAATTTGAAAGAACCGAAGCAGGTTCTAGGAGAAATCCGTCCTTCAAACATCATGAAACAGCCACCATGTGGGATTTGAAGATAGGGAACCCCTAAAGTTGATACCCTCTGGTTATTTAACATAGCAATGGTATAGATGGCCCATTTATAGATGGTTTACCTATTAAAAATGGTGGATCTTTCCATGGCTATGTTAAATAAACAGATGATAATAAAAATCATCCAATCATTGTAAATTATAATAATTCACTAACCTGAATAGTTCGGCCATTTGGGGATGATTTCCCTTATTTGCCATGATTCCAGGGTTCGGGAGAACAGTGAGGTCGTGATGAAATTTACCCAGATCCAATGGATCTTCCCCATGTCGAAAATTGGCCATGTTCAACAGATCCCCCATTTTCAGACCCGAAGAACATGCTTCAACCGTTGAAAACATCTCCATTTTTTGGACAGGCAAAACCATGGCAAACCCCGTCAAAAAAGCCATTAAATGCTTAGTTTCATCCCCTATTTCGAAATAGTCACAAGCATTTATTATAAAATGTTATAAACCCAAGATTCAATCTCTCTCTCTCTCTCCAATGTCAGTTGCATATGTCATCCCTATTTCAATATTCATCAATATTTATAGATAGTGGTATTTATCATTAATTTATTTATCTTGATTGGAATAAAAAATATAGTGAATGTTTCTAACTACATCTATCCTCCCTATATTTCAATATGGCAGTGTGTCAAAACCTTGTACCCCTGGATGTTCACATCAAAATAGCTGGGATTTATGGATGTTCATCCCCCTAAAAATGGTATTAATTGGTATTGATCCATAGCCATATCTACATCAATGACCATTTATAGTGGATTTTCCCATTAAAAATGGTGATTTTTCCATATGTTCCAGATATCATCAGATATTTCAATATCTTTGTATCCATTAGATCTCCAACATTCCCAGCATGGTCCGTGCTGCGCCTTGTCGCCCTTCTTGGCGTCCTCTGCGTCCTGGCGTTTTGCAGCGTGGGCCCATAGGGAGATGATGGTCATATGATACTCGGATGTGGGTCAGGAAGACCGATGTGGGACAGATGTGAATGTCTAGTTTAGTATTAACCATCCAATTATTGGGGTACCTAATTTTGACCCATACCCATATGATGGGATAGTAACCAACAATTTCTGGTTGGTGGTTTCAACCAACCCCTCTGAAAAATCATGGAGTTCGTCAGTTGGGATAATTTTTATTCCCAATATATGGAAAAATAATCCAAATGTTCCAAACCACCAAGCAGATTTGATATCTGATGATATCTGGATTTTGGTATTTCACATGAATTCACCATTTTATGGGCATGGGATATGAAGCAACAATGGTGAATTAAGCCATAGAATGGTAACTGATAATGTGTCTAATCTTGAGGAATTATTAAGGCAACATGATTGACCATTTCATATGTGGGCACATGATGGGATATTAACCGACAATATACCGACAATATGATACTGTATGTGGGTTTGTCCAAAAATGGCGGGGTACCATGAAATGGTATAAAACTGCCATTTAATAGGTAAAATCATGATACTGATAAAGTCGGGTATTTGAGGGTAGCCCGTTTTCAAACAAAACTCATAACAATACTGTCTCTTCTGCTCGCAAAATCGTTTGTGGTGAGGTTGTTATAGGTCTGGCCCCTGTATCAAACGTATCAAACCTGCAATCTGAAACCATGAAACTCACTTAAATCAGGCATCAACGCTGAGTAGCGGAGTAGCTGCTGAGTAGCTGCTGCTTGCCATTTTTAGGTATCATGAGGTATCCGCCATTTTTGGCTAATTGTCCCATTAAAACCTCCATTTATACCATTGCCATTTGATTATTTATACCATTGCCATTTATACCATTGCCATTTATACCGTTAAAACCTTCATTTATATAGATATCATTTATAGTGATTTGTCTGCCATCTTTCACGAAACCAGAGGGGCAACATGTTCTACGAAGCCCCAAATTTGCTTAGTTGAATCCGGGATGGGTTCAACATAAGGCCACCATATAAGGCCACCATAGAAGGTATATATCTTACCCGGCCACCATCACTGTTACCCGGTAAACGATTCCCATCACTGTTCACATATGTTCATATGCTTTCCGAAGATCTCGTTTTCTGAGATGTGCTAAGATGATATTTGATTTCATAAGCCCAAGCCTTACGAAACCTGCCTCCGTCTTCTTGAAACCCTGGCCCCAATCCTTCGGCACTGGAGGGGATGAATCTCCATACCAGCTGGGCTGTGGAAACTTGCAAATTCCAGGCCATTCTTGTAGGTTTTGCATTTTTCCTGGACAACCTTAGATATTCCGAAAGGTGGCTTCCTGATCAAATGGCCATTGAACGCAGGGTGAAAGGACCATCTCCGTACTCCATTTTGAACCTGGAGAGCGCCTCTCCTTTCCAGACGTTTTTGTTGGTCAAGTGTAACTTCTAAGAACTGAAGCTGGAATCGAACCAACAATTGGCAGCAAACTATAAGAAGCAGTACATGTTGCAGGGCAAAATAAACCTTCCCAATGGAAAAACCAGTTGTGTGTAAGATTATGTCAGATGGCTATGGATCAATACCTATAAATAGCAACTTCAGGGGGATTAACATCCATTTACCAGCTATTTTGATGTTCATCAGGGTACAAGGTTTTGACCCATCCCCAGATTTACTACTGGGTGGTTACTACGCCACGTGACGTCAAGGCACCATTCCATCGTTTCGTTTAGGTTTCAGATTCTCTACAGGGAAATCTGGCTGGCACCGCAGAAAACACCCGTTCCACCAGCTGCTGTGTTTGAGCAGTGACCAATTGTATTGACTGACTAATTACCCTCTGGTTATTTAACATAGCTATTGAAAATGACCATTTATAGTGAGTTTTCCCATAAAAAATGGTGATTTTCCATAGTTATGTTAGTTTACCAGAGGGTATTGTAAATATACAACCTGGTTCCTGGGGATCATTATACTACAATTATGATCCATGATGTGAACCCCTAGAAAAAACTAATATAAATTCCTGACAGAGGGTTTTGAAGACTATTCTCCAAGTGGGTCATTTATTTTGGGTCGATCTGAAAACGGTGGCTGTGGTGTCATAGTTTTTGGGACCTCAAGAAATGATTCAAATTGCTCTACCCTCTGGTAAACTAACATAGCTATGGAAAATCACAATTTTTAATGGGAGAAACCACTGTAAATGGCCATTTTCAATAGCTATGTTAAATTACCAGAGGGTAGAGATTGTAGTGCGGAAAATGATGATAAACCCTGGGATCTGGATTTTCACATGACCCCAATTTTTCATGCCAGCCCTGTTGCTGACGACACCTCAGCTGTCCCTCCTCCTCCGCGAATTGACAGGTTCTGGCTGGAGCAGTGCGCACCTGGTGAGAGTCCAGGTAACGCTGTTTCAGAATCCATGGGAATGGGATGAATGGGGCAAAACATGGGTAAAACCCATGGGTAAAACCCATGGTAAAACATCCATAAACCATCCAGCTCGTTTTATAGAAATATGGATAGAGTTTGTTAGTGCAGATTCTAGATAAATCGTCCCATTGGGACTCAACATGGGGTTTACCACATGTAACTATACATTTATAAAATGTGGGTGTTGCCTGTCAGCCTGCTATGACCTGCTTCCGGGAAAATGCAGCAAAGACTGGCCACGATCTCCCGATGCAAAACCCAGTGTATCCACACTATATTTCTTCTCACTACCCTCTGGTAATTTAACATAGCTATTGAAAATGGCCATTTATAGTGGAGTTACCAATTAAAAATGGTGATTTTCCATAGCTATGTTAGTTTACCAGAGGGTACATGCTCATAAAAAAAGGTCATGGCATGGGCCATGATTCATCATGTTGAGAGTCCACCCAAAAAAATTGATCGGCGAATCGCCGCACCTCGAGACTAGAAGAAGCAGATTTCAGAGGCATCGCATCATCTACAATGGAGACCTCCACCGTATACCTGCCACTGACGAAAGCACCAAAGTCGGGAAAACATGAGGTGGGGATGGGTCAAAACCCTGGTACCTAGTGAACCCCAAAATAGCTGGTAAATGGATGTTCATCCCACTAAAAATGTATCTATAGGATTCTATAGGTATTGACCCATACCCAGGTGATAAACAACCAAGTTTGGGGGTAGCCTAGTTTCAGACAAACCCATATCCCAAAATGTGATAAAATGATATAAAATGTGTCTGCCTGACGGACGGATTTGGAGTTACGCTATGCTTGGGCAAACCTCACCAACGCCGATCTCTTCTACCCTCGGGTGGAAAATCAAATGTGACTGGGAATCCGCAATCAAAATTGAGAATTTTGTGGGAAAATATGAGGAAATAATCAATGCTGGATTTTCCACTGCTAGGTTTGATTGCCAGAGGGTATCAAGTTGGATACTCATGTAGAACTACAGCCAGATCAATAAGTACACCATTCATTTTTTGAACCTGCCAGGTTCATTCAACTTGGCACTGGATGAAACATGATGAAACATTCAGTTCGATGAACATTTCCGGAAAAAGGGTGGAGTTTCCAAGCAGCGCAACTCTGGTTCCCCTGGCGACCGCGGAAAACGGCACCTGGTGTCGGGCAGAAGCTCATTGACCTGGCGAAAGTCGAGACGGACAATAGACGTGACGGAGACGTGCCGTGGCACGGTGGCACGTAGCAGTTGTAAGATGTCAGACTTTCATACCCATAGGATCCATGTATGCTATATATGGCAACATTCACCATCAATTACCCCCAATGTTAGCATATATATACCATACATGGATCCTATGGGATATGATTGGTTTATATCAATTATATCAATTATAAATTATATATGATTATATGTAATTATATTCACTGTACTTATATATTTCTTGGATGATAAGCTCCCAGAATATAGTATCTTAAATATTATCGACTGTCGTATCTATAATATTACAACATTATGATATGTCTATGATTCATTTCAATGGATGAATTGTGATGCTCATGATACTCCTGCAATCAGGGATATCACCGATACAAGCCGAAGGTGGATACATCCGCATATGAGAAAACATATTTATTCATATTTATTCACTAACCTGAATTCAGGCCATGTTTGGGATGATTCCCTATACAAACCCATCATTACAGTGATGTTGAGTCAGTGTATCCAAGTTTTTTTGGACTACACATGCGGTTTTTTGGTGTTCCAAATGTGTCAAGGATCACACCGGACCTGGACAACGAGTTCCTGAGAGTTTCTCTCAGCAAATTTGGGGGAGTGTGGTGGACGATGGGCGAGAGAAGTCCTATTTTTAGGACACCAGGGCGCCAAAAGCATGGGAAGGTGGGAGAACTTGGTCCCCGGGTCCCGGAGATGACCCACTGAATTTGGGATTCCAATCTCCATCAAGGATGGTCCATGGCTTCCAGTTCGCAAACTGCCAGAGGGTACCCCATGGTATCAGTTTACCAAAGGAATCCAGTTCACCCGCTGGTTGATCATGATTGATCATCATCGTCCCTTCCATTGATCTTCCATTGCCAGGCACTGAAAAACCACTTCGCGGCCCACCTGGTGCACGACTTTGCCTCCACACCTGCAGCTGATGAGGTCCTCCACCGGGACGGGGTGTCAAATGTGGGGTTTCCATGGGCCGTGGCACTTGGGGCTTTTTCAATGGGCCATAACAATACTTGGAGGATCATCCCACTTAGTAAGTGGGTCATAACCAAACCAGTTCATCCATTTATAGATCGGATAACTTGCCATAACCTGCCTAGGGGACTTATTAATCAGGGATATCAACCACGTACTGCCTGAGACGATAAGTATGGTTACAACCATGATAATTTGGGACATCAAAAGTGCACTGAGGGCAACAGAACCCCACTTTTTGCAAGTTCCATTGTCACCCGAAAGGTGTCCTTCTTGGGACCCTTGATGTCGCAATCTGGACCACCCAGCGTCAGCACTGAAAGCCTGATGTCGAATCAAAGGGCAATCGCTGGCAACGGAACTCACAGACTTTGGCCAAGGTGGTAAACCATGGTAAACCTACAGTTAATGATGACCTGTTTTTTTTCCTTGGAAGGTTCGTGTCAGCATTTTTTAGTGTTGGGACCACCACTATCAAACAATACCAGGCGTGGCCAAAAGCTCTGAGGATTGCACTGGATTTCCTGCCCTCTCCGCCATTGCGACGGTGGCAAGAAACCGTATCTCGGAAGACCTGGGTCCAGCTGACCAGGAGCAGATGGAGGACAGCTGTGTATGTCAAGAAGCCGCAACGTGTGGCATGCCCAGTTGTAAGTTGGTCCATGAAACTCCAGTGTCATCAAATGTCATAAACTCGTTGGTGGTATACCTACCCCTCTGAAAAATCATGGAGTTCGTCAGTTGGGATGATGATTCCATTCCCAATATATGGAAAGTCATAATTATTAATGTTCCCAACCACCAACCAGCCAGTGTCATAACATGTCATCAAATGTCATAAACCATAGAAGTTGGACTTATAAACCCAACTAGGCCGCTAGCCGCTAGGCATTTTAGGGGGTTTTAGGGGGCCCCACTGAGCCTTGTCATGGTGGATCAATCCGATTTTTTTGTTTGGGGCGCCTCGACTCTCGACATCCAAAAAAAAAAACGTGGTGACCCCGGAGACTGCCCTCTGGTAATTTAGCGTAGCTATTGAAAATGACCATGAATAGTGGATTTTCCCATTAAAAATGGTGATTTTCAATAGCTATGTTAAATTACCAGAGGGTAATTATAGTTGGTCCTGTTATGTCCTGTTGGTCCTCCCCCAACTGGATTCAACCAATGGTTGAATCAACCAATCGACTCGGCATCACAGCTGAGACATGGTAAGACATGTCGTCCCGGGGCTCCAGCGGACGCCCAGCTTCAAGCTGTACTCTCCAGCCTGGACGAGGACGGAGATCAATGCTTCGACCCAAAAGCAGCCAAGGGACACAGAAAAAATGATCTGTGGAGATGTTACGAATCCATGATAATCCATGTTTTTCTGGCGATTTAAAAACACATATGTTGATCATCGTTCATCTCCATATGGTTCATATTCAAAATCGACTGGCGGTTTGATGCGAAAAAGGTGTTGGTGGATTTCCAGCCACGAGCCGACCATTGGTTGAAGTGATAAGGGAAGTTTTTTGTTGTGTTACCCTCTGGTTATGTCAAAATAGCTATTGAAAATGGCCATTTATAGTGAGTTTTCCCATTAAAAATGGTGATTTTCCATAGCTATGTAAAAGTTTACCAGAGGGTAGGCCTTCAACATTAATCAAATCCTCTGGGCAGACTTTGACCTGGAAAAAAGTATTCTGTACATTTCTGTACTCCCGGATCTCTCCTAGGGGAAAGGCGAAAGGACTCAAGCATGGGCAGCTCTGAAGTGCACAACTTGTGGGATTTGGACCTGTTGAAATTTGAGTTACACCCAAAACATTGTTTTGGTTCATGCCCCTTCGATGTAATTTCAAACAATGTCAACCCGGGATTAATGAAGCTCTGGGTTGTTTGAGTTGTACCGTTTCAAGTCGCAAAGTATCACTCTTCGGGGGTAAACCCCTAATGAATCACTCAGGGTTTTATCCATCCAGGGTTGACACCAGACCAACCAGTCCATGTCATGGGCATAGAATGGGAATTTTTGTTGGAGGGTTAAGGTTTTATGTACCATGATCAAGTAATTAACATGGGATGAATGGCTTATAGTCATCCATCTCAGGATGGCAATCCGAACAGAATGGATTTTAAAATCACCATGAATGGATTCATTGGTTCATGGCCATCCACCAAGGACGTATTCAATCTATCTTTTGACCATGGCACATATGTCATTTTGTCTTTATGAAAAGTCTCCTCTGGTAATCAACCATGGCTTGCTGGAAAATCACCCAGTTGATGGTGTTCCCATTTCAATCGCCATTGAGTTCGGGGATTGAATCCAACCAGCCACGCTATAATATTCGTGTAGGGTATCCCAGAAAATACCCCCAGACATTGACCCACTACCATGGGAATATTAATATTCACATAGACCCTGAAGGTCACCAATTCTTAGTGGAAACTCATCTGCCTTCACCAAAAAAAGTGGCAGGGTCTATGTTAATTTACTGGAGGCTATATCAAATTAGTTTCGATAGATATCATCACAACAGTGAACTAAACCACTACATATACCATCAGTTCTATATTTCATCACAACAATGTTGTGATGAAATATAGAACTGATGGTATATGTCTTAAATGATGATAAAAAATGGATAGTAATGTATATGTCATATACATTACTATCCCTTTTTTATCATCATTTAAGAGTCCCACTTTCAGGTCACAGGCTCGCCGGTGGCCTCCTCCAAGTTCACCTCGCAGCGAGGCACCTTGCACATGGGATGAACATCGTCATAAAAATGATTTCACATAGTCATGGGATTTACTATGGTTTAATATGGTTTTATAGGGATGATAATGGGATAATACTGGGATATTGATGGATATACCCCCATAGGATCCATGGTGCTGCTATATATGCTAACATAAAGGGGATATATTGATGGTCAATGTTACCATATATAGCAGCACCATGGATCCTATGGGACATGGAAGAGACATTAAAATCGCGTTTACCCTCTGGTAAACGTACAAAAACCTATGGTATATATGGTATAAATCACTGTTTTTAATAGGTAAATCAATTATTTCTATGGGCCATGTTCAATAGCCAACTGTGAAAAATATCCAGAGGGTAAGATGTTAGTTCTTACTAAAAATCTCTGCTGGGTGAGATGAACACATGGAGGATGTGGGTTTAGACCTAAAAATCACGGTCCCCACTAAAATAGCCATTTTGAGGGTATACCATGGTATACCCCAGTTTTTCAAGAAACCCATGTCTTTGGACTTTCTTACATTTCTCATCTTAAGTTTAACAGTTTTGTAACTGGAAAGAATACGGAAAACCCGAAATTAATGGAGTGAACCGTATATGGGTGTTTCAGGTATATAACAACAAAACTTGAAGCAGGGAGAATGTTGAACACATACAAAAACCATATTACTCAACCCATGGCCACCCAAGTGTTTGGAAACAGCAGTATCTCAGGCAAAAGATTGACGTACGGGTCCACAAATCAAGAGATGTCTGCAAGATTTATGAGTCTCCACAGATGTCTAGCTTTAAAATCAAATAGATATCTTGGTGACTTGGCGGGTAAGATTCGATGTCAATTACAAGCCTTAAGCTTTCGATTTAGGGGAGCCGATGCGGGAGCCTCTAAGGCAGTTGCCTCGGATTTCCCAGCAAAAACTCATGAGTCATGATCCACCACGGGTATCACTAGATGTTGGATCATTCAGCTAATGATTGTTGATACCCGCTCAAGTGGATCATATAATTCAGCTATTGTGGATCTTAATCGTGATACCCAGAAATGATCATTGGTTTAACAAGATGATCCACTAGGTATCTCAAGTTAATATCACTAGGTATATCTAGGTATCCAAATTCCAATAGGTTCTCAAGTTTTTCTCAAGTCTTTCCGAAATGTTGGACTTTGGTGTAAACCAAAAGGGCCCAAGTTTGGTTGGTCTTTGGCTACCTGCCATCGGGATCCCGAATCCCTTTTAAACGGCTGAGCCTCTCCAAACAATTTAACCCTTGATGTCATCCAAGTCTATAATGATTTTTCCAATCAACATAATTCAAAATTGCCGTCTACATATACTATATAATATATCATATATATATATATATATCATATATATATATATATATCATATATATATATCATATATATATCATATATATATCATATATATATCATATATATATATCATATATATATATATATATCATATATATATATATCATATATATATATATATCATATATATATATATCATATATATATATCATATATATATATATATCATATATATATCATATATATATCATATATATATATCATATATATATCATATATATATATATATCATATCTATACTGGGCCCCAATGTCTGGCTTAAAGACCCATTGAAACATATTGAAACCAGACATTATCCCAGCCAGGATTTCATGCCTCCGGATCTGAAGCTTGACTGCTGCAGCAGCCTCCACAGCACCTGCTGTTCGGGGACTCTCAAATTATGGTTAACTGGCAGGGCCCATTCAATGGTAGGAGACAACAACCCGCACATTTCATGACATTTCTGATAGTATCGTCAAAAAGGATGGGGACTAACATGGGGACCCAAATTTTTGAACCCAATGAGTACAAAGGTCAATTTAGGGCTTAGGGGAACCCTACTACTGGGTTTGGCGAGGAACTAACCCTTTTTGGAGTACACCTTGGTTCCGAAGATCAGCCAAACTGGGACATGGTCACTCGCAGGTGTTCCTTGTAAATCCAAGGGGATAGGATTGTGATGGGTTGTGGTCATCGCAGGTTGCCGTTCAGTAAGAACCAAGCGGGTTGTTTGTTTCCCAGACTCCTTCTGGTTGGTTCATTTACACGATTACTATCAACCCTGAAGCTAACAGCTGCACCTGGATACAACTAAGAGTGAAGGCTATGGGAGAATGGCTGCAAGATGCTTTTCCTACACAAATTTGCTTTTGAACATGTCAGATTCCACTTTCTTTAAAAAAAAACTCCCCCCTGTAAATAGCCGGGCTGGAAACCCTGGCGGGTTTGCCTGAAATGCACCAAAATGCTGATTTTTAGAATTGCATCTATTCACTTCGTCAATGGCCATTTCAGGCACCTACAGTAAATTGGAGGTACATACCACCCGGTTACCCTCTGGTAAACTAACATAGCTGTGGAAAATCACCATTTTTTATGGGTAAATCAACTATTTCAATGGCTATTTCCAATAGCTACGTTAAATTACCACCCGGTTAGGCCTATGTTCCGGGCCCCAATTTCTATGGCTTTCTATGGTTCACCATAGCTCTTTACAGTCCCGTGTCCTGAGATTCCCATCGAACTCAGCTAAGATGGTGACGGCATCGCGGCGGCCACAGCTAAAGTCGTGATCACCTCACTATGGAGATGACGCAGGGCATCAGGGCCCCTGGGCCTTTCCGAATCTGTTCGGAAAAAAACAAGTTGGTTTATTTCATTTTATTTCTATATCCCCATGACGGATCCTAACGGTGCTGCTATATATGGTGCTCCATGGATCCCATCAATATACCCGCAATCAATGTTAGCATTTTTTTCCAGCACCAGCCGGATCCGTCATGGGTATATAGACTCATAAACCCAAGTTAATCAAGTTAAAAGCATCAACTTAGCTATCGTGATGCTATCGTGGGAGGTCCTCACCTTCTACAGATTCCGATGGCAACAGGTCTCCGTTCCCAACGTTATTCAACTGTCATCTTCCACAGCATCCCCTTGGTACACGGACCCTATACTCATCAACAATCAGGGTGCAACATGTTCCCCCATCTGAGCCGAAAACGGCGGCCAGAGGACTTGAACGAAAATTCCGGGGATGGGGAGAGCATGCAGAGGTGAACGATTGAGTTTCAAGGACCCACTGTGGCTTGAGTGAAAGCTATGAAGGGATTCATCAAACGCGTCTTGAAATGTCTTGAAGCACCTCGAGATTTAAGACCCATAGGATCCATGGTGCTGCTAAATATGGTAACAATTGGTAACATGGATCCCACCAATATACCCCCTTTATGTTAGCATTAATATACCAGCACCATGGATCCGTCATGGGAAAGGAAACCGAGGAAACCAGGGCTCCTCTTAGAGGACTCGAATCTCCTGTTCGAGATTCGAAGGCGCCTTTGCTTGGACTTTCGACTCAGGTGGTTTCCAGGACTTACAGGACGTTAAGCCCTTTGCGAACACCGAGATTTTTTTTGGTCATCTAGTGCTCCATAAAAGTCACTCGGTTCTTTTCGAATCAATGATTTGCATAAGTTATGTTATGAGTATTCATTCCTTTAAGTACGGAATGTTATTCAGACATTACTATGATGATATTACTATAATCCACCAAACAAATAATGCTGGATATTTCGTTCGTGGGTTCTGCAACCGCAACACCATCCAGCGGCATTTTTCTTGACATCAACAACCATGGCTCAAGCGTCTTTTCATCTTGGTGGTTTCTTACCCCCAGTTTGTTCGGCAAGTTGGTTTTTAGATGAGTGTATAAGTTAAAATAGTTAAGTGTTGGTGCCAGGTGGTGATTATATTGGACTCAACATGACTCAACATTCTTCCGTATCATGGCTGGGAGTTTGTTTTCGCTCAGCTATGACTGTGGCCACAACGTGGCCCCATGGCCGGTGCCAGGATTTTCTCAGGAATACTTCTGGTGACCAACCTCCAAAAGCCTCGGTTCGATGAATGGGCCTCCAAGTCCGAAGGATCACCATAATCACAATTAATATCAGATTATCATCATCACAATAATATACAATCAAAATATATCAAAATATATCATAATATATCATAATATATCATAATATATCATAATATATCATAATATATCATAATATATCATAATCATCATCTTCTTGCTATTCTTCTTCTCCATTTTTCAGTTGCCAAAATATGGGACATCAAAAAAAATGGACCCCGAGAAATTCTGCCAGGAGGCATCAGCACAATGGAAAGCGCCAAATAGACCTTGGCTGGGCATGGAGGGGACATGTCGCTGCGCCTTGAGGGGGTTGTGACCCCAAATCTCTGATGATGCTTTGGTCATGGTGAAAAGAGCCAGCGACCATGACCCAGAACTGGAGTACCCGGCCTGGTAAACGTTAACAGTTTGCGACATAGAAAATTGCCATAGAAATAGTGGATTTACCCAAAAATGGTGAGTACCCAGATTTCGTGGGATTTGATGGGGATGAGTAGATGCTTGATTGGGATTTTATTGGATTTAACCAGTCGAAATGGCAGAAAACGGTGGTTCAACCAACGGTGTTGATGCTCCTAATTCTTTCATCCTATGAGACTTCAAATCATTCCCCCAGGCGCTGAAATCCAGCCACAGGGTGGTGTCCCTTGTCGCTAAGTTGGTAACCATAACTAGGGTATCTCACCATGCTTTCTGGTGGATAAGACTAATGATGGTTAATGGTTGTTGAACTGTTGAACTGTCGTCGCTGTTGTTGCTGTTGTTGCTGTTCCCAAAGCCACACTCAGACCTTGGGGGCGGAGTCGCGGTGTCGCGGTGTTTTTTTCGATCGCCAAGGGACCGCCACGGCCAGGCGGAAGTTGGCCCAGCCCTGCAGTGACTTCTCGTTGATCTTGGCCACCGGATCTCCGGTCCAGTGGAGGAAAATCAGGTTCTCACCCGCGCGGATCTTGTATTCCTGCGGTCAGTCTGGATGCTGGATCCGTTGTTCAGGTTGTGGGCCCCATGGATGCCCATGGCCAGAAGATCAAGGGCTTAACTCAGCTTACCCTGGCTTGAAGTAGGGATATTTAAGGAGTTAGGTTTGGGGGAACCAAACCAAGAATCGTAAGGGCACCACCTTGCCTTGAGTGGGGAGAAGGATCTGGTTTCAGTGGAAAACATGGTTGACAAATGTTGATAGTTTGAACCCCTGGGAGAGCAGGAAAGTGACTGCTGACTTCTGGAATCTTGAATTGGCAGGTTGAGATAGAGTTTCCTTAGAGTTTGCTGGAAGGTAAGGATTAAATTTGAACGAAAAATGAAGGAATTGAAAAATCATAGACCCTGCAAGTCTCCGTACACATTTGGTCTTGGACAGGAAAAGTGTGATATTGTATAATATCTTCCACTACCAAAAATCAACAAGCCACAAGTCACTTTGCTCAGATCACTGAAACTTCGCTTTTGCTGCTTGGAAAGTCTAGGATAAGACAAGCTATTCATTTCCCAATTAGACACCAATTTTTTAACCACTCTGAACCATCGGATTCGCTTTCCTCCTGAGCTTGCTGAATGGCTTTCCTGCCATAAAAAAGAGATGTTCTGGAGATTCTGGGGTCGAGGCGTTTTGAAGATTATAAATATGGGATTATAAGCTATGTAATGTAACTTATATAAGGTAAGGATAGGTAAGGACATGTAGGGGTAGGCAATGTCATGTTTTTCTGTCACTCAAATATAGCCGACAATCACTGGGATAGCATGGGTATGAATGGGTAATCAAACTGGTCAGATACAACGGTCTGTACCCGCCTTTTATGGCAGAATTTGAGCCAAACCAATTCCCAGATCACTGGAATACACCCCCGACCATCAACATGGAACCAGCCACATTCCCAGACTTGATTTAATGGGAAATGTCACAGGAAAAGCCTGGAATAGCCTCTGATAAACGTACAAAAAACTATGGAACATCACCATGTTTAATGGATTTTTATCAACTATACCTGGGTCATGTTCAATAGCAAACTGTTGAATTACATTAAATTACCAGAGGGTAAGTTAAACAATCTTCAACCAAACGATGGAACCATTGTATCAATGGATTGGTTTAAGGGAAAATTTACAGGAAAACCCCATATTTACATATATTTACTGGGAAAATCTATGGTTTCCTGTAGATTTTCCCTTAAACCAATCCATTGATTGTAAGATCATCTTCCAACCCAATTTTGGCTTCCTCCCTCCGTCGCCTAAAGTTGGGAATCTGCGATGAGTCTGTCCAGCGAAAACCGCCACGTGCCTGGTTCCATCTTCGTTTTCACTACGCTCCGGTGTCATCAAACATGGCAAGCTGGAAAATTGTTCATGAAGGTAATTCATGGTAATTATATATATATAGCTGGGAAAATAGCTGGGAAAATCAACTACGGATGAAATCAACTACGGATGATTCTAATATATGCTACTGTAATCCTTTTGCTGAGTGTGGCTTTCTCCCGTTGGCGACGCTTAAATGACTTTTCCTTGACTGCGCCTCGTCATCATTGGGCTCGCCGCACATGAAGACTTTGGGCTCAAAGGGGCTGCAACAATCCACACCTCAGCCGCCATGATTGGCCAAACACCAAGCTCTGAGAGCTCCGAGCTCCGAGCTCCCCAATGGTCAGTCGACTTCCAGTTAGGTGCATCTCTCTGTCTCTTTATCTCCGCACAAATCCTTCACCATCTTCAATCTGCAATAAGTATTAATAACCCATGACGGATCCATGGTGCTGGTATATTAATGCTAACATAAAGGGGGCTTTTGTTGATGGGATCCATGGCACACCATATATAGCAGCACCGTTAGGATCCGGTAAGTACTCACTACTCACCGAACTCGATGACTTCCCAGCCCGCAACGGAGCAGTTTCACGGTTCAAAATCTACTGATATGGTTCAAAATGGACAATTTACCCTCTGGTAAACGTACAAAAAAACATGGAAAGATCCACCATGTTTAATTGGTAAATCAACTATTTCTATGGGCCATGGCTTCCATAGTTATGTTAGTTTACCAGAGGGTACAAACCATGGTGTTGACCCCCAAATCTCTCAGGCTTCCCTGTAGAAATTCCCTTAAAGCAACCGTCAATCATCTACAGAGCCCCCCGGCCAACTGCCCAAAACTCGTAGAAGGCTGGAGGGGCAGCTTTCGGTGGGCCTGACCCGGAGCTGGTTTTTCCGACCCCTTTTTTTTTGTTTCAACGGAGCTGGATGTGGATCAGGAATCTAGAACCAGTCGATATTAGGTGATATTATATGTATATATGTATATATGCTTCAGTGTGCCTGGTGCAAATATATATATATATGGTTGGTGGTTTTAACCATTTTGAAAAATATGAGTTCGTCAATGGGGAAGATGACATCCCATATATGAAATGGAATATATATATACATATATCACCAGTGGAACTGAGTGGTTGCCGCCGACCAAAGAAAGCGCCTGCCGTCGTGATGGGCGCTACACAATAGGAGCGTCCGTCCTCTCCAATCCGACGGGATGGAAAGATGGAAAGGGGCTTCAAAAAAACTTCAATATAATACATAATATAGTAATAATATAGTAATAATATAATATAATATAATATAATATAGTAATATAATACAGTAATAATAATATATAGCAATAAATATAGTAATATAGTAATATAATAATAATGTAGGGGAAACATGGCATATATACCTAATATAGTAATATATAATATAATATAGTAAAATAATGACCATAATGACCATAATATCTTTTAATATAATGACCATATACATAACATATAATATAGTAATATAATACCAAACATGGCGCATATAAAGACAATGTGATAATGACAATTATATATATAATAGTAATATAATGACCATATGATATAGATCACTCAATGATAATACTACGAGAATATCATGTTCAACTAGAAACTCTAGCATCCATACAAATACCAGCCTCGGCATTTGACACCAGTTCATACGAGTTCATACCAGACCCAAAAACGAAAAAAATGTATGCATATATTTACTTATGAAGTCAAAGATGCATGCACTAACTCAATTCTCTCTCAGGAGGTTGATTTAAGAGCCAAACGACATATCCAGTAATACATCAAAATATATGATATATCGCTAGTATGGTAATCCATGGTGTTTGCAATCCATGTTCACCAGCCCACAAATACCGAAACCTTTATTCTGGGACTTGCTTTTTTCCATCAGAGAACTGCTCGCTACCCAAAGCGGGACAGTTATCCATCTGTCGTCCTTGTAGGCCATGGTCAGACTCTCATTCACATCTGTGGAAGGTGTGAATTCCAAAGCAGCCACGTCGATGAACTGACCACCTGCCACGACGCGAAACGGTAATGAGAAATCCATAGGGGCATGGGCGGTATGGGTCAAAAATATAGAAATACCTCCAAGTGGACCTACCATAAACTATTCATCTTATTTTTTGAGGGTACCCTCTGGTAAAGTAACGTAACTATGGAAAATCACCATTTTTAATGGGTAAATCCACTATAAATGGCCATTTTCAATAGCAAACTGTTAGTTTACCAGAGGGTACTGATTGTTGGACCATCCATTTTTCGGCCATCATTCTGACCACTACCCATATCCGGAAAAGGCATCCCACAACGGAGATGGGATGTGTCCGGCAATTCCCCAACCTCTCCTAAGCCTACCTGGTTGGTGGTATACCTACCCCTCTGAAAAAATCTGAAAAATATGAGTTCGTCAGTTGGGATAAGTTGGGATGATGAAATTCCCAATGTCTGGAAAGTCATTCAAAATTCCATGGTTCCAGTCACCACCAACCAGCCAATTCTGTTGACAGATCATCCAATCGCTCAGCCTCTGGAACTTCGGGTGCTCACATTGGAGATCAAGGCAAGAGTCGCATTTTCGTAGTACCTCCAGGTATTAACCACCAGGATGAGTTTTTTTACAGATACATAACAGTATAGATTGGTGTATAGTTGTTGTATACGTATTTAAATATTACCATCTGCTTATTTAACATAGCCATGGAAAATCCACCCATTTTTAATAGGTAAACCATCTATAAATGGGCCATCTATACCATGGCTGTTATCAAACTATGAGATCCACAAATGATACGCACATGTGGTGCTTTCCCAAACCCCTGCGGCACGGTTCCATGATGCTGAACCAGTTGTAGAGGCCAAAGGCCATTCCTGCTGTCCAGGCCTTGGCGTCCACGTCTTTGGTAAATGAGTTCTATACATCAAATCTATCTGCCTACCAAGGTGCCTATCTATCTGACTATCTATATATCTATATATATAATTATCTATCACTATCTATCATTATCTATCATGTTTTACCATTATCTATCATTATCTATCATGTTCTATCATTGCCTATCATTATCTATCATTATCTATCACTATCTATCATAATATATCATGATCTATCATTATCTATCATTATCTATCATTATCTATCAGTATCTATCAGTATCTATCATTATCTATCATTATGCATCATGTTATATTGCTTTCTATCATTATCTATCATGTTCTATCATTATCTATCATTATCTATGATTGTCTATGATTATCTATGATTCTCTATGATTATCTATCATTATCTATCATTATCTATCATTATCTATGATTATCTATGATTATCTATCATTATCTATCATTATCTATCATTATCTATCATTATCTATCATTACCTATCATTATCTATCATTATCTATCATTATCTATCATTATCTATCATTATCTATCATTGTCTATTTATCTATCTATCTATCTATCTATCTATCTATCTCTATATATCTATCGATTTATCTATCTATCCATCTATCTATCTATCTAGCTATCTATCTATCTAGCTATCTATCTATCTATCTATCGATCTATCTATCTATTTATCCATATTATATAACGCTGTATTTATATACACGTACATGTTTATCAATAATATGGCAATACGATTAATATAGTCACCTTCCTCATTGATCTTGCACATCCCCCGAAGGTGGAGCAGTGAAGTTAGTGAAATCGCTTTAAAATCAGCTTATTTGATATTACTGAGATCATGATGATTAAATAAAAGTCAAAGAATAAAATCATCTTATTTAAAAATCATCTTACTAAGATCATATAAAAATCAAAGAATAATATGATTAATCTAGCTGCGGCAGCGATTGGATCTGCCAAATTTCGATTGCTATTTCTTTTTAAAATATGACACCAATCATCTCCTCTTCCGGTCTGAAAGCTCTGATCCATAGCCATACATTTATCATTATTGATCCTCTGATCAGGCAACATGGACAAGCATCCACCATAGATTCTGTTACCCTCACAAGCGCAGGGTTTCCTGCAAATGTGCCAAAGAAATGAAGGTCCTCTACAGGGCGGACCCCCCCTAAGCCACAGCAAAGCGTGGAGGAATCTCCAGTCACGTTCGGTTGCAAGATATGATATACAAGATATCCAGCCCTGAATCCGAATGGAACGGCATAGGTCAACATGTTCAATTCCCTCAAAAGGTA